GACAAAGATGTAAAGGTAATTCAATAGGGAAAGAAAAGTATTTTCAACAAATGGTGTTGTAATATCTGGATACATATGAACAAAAAATTAACCTTGGCATCTACCTCATATCACATACAAAAATTAATCTGAGATGGATCACAGGCCTATGTGCCAAAACAAAAGCTTCCAGAAGAAAACAGGAGAATTTCTTCATGATCTTCTAGTAGGCTAATAATTTTGAGTACACAAAGAGCATTAACATAAAAAACAGATTTCATTAAAAAGATGAAGATTTCCTGCTCATCAAAAGACACTCTTAAGAAAATGAAATGGGCCAGGAATAGTGGCTCACACCTGTAATCCCAAGACTTTGGGAGGCCGTGGCGGGAGGATCAAGGATCACTTGAGCCCAGGGGTTGAAGACCAGCCTGGGCGACATAGTGAAACCTTGTCTCTATTAAAAAAAAGAAAAATAAAATGAAATGGCAAGCCACAGATTGAGAGACGATACTCATAATAAATATATCTGACAAATATATAAAGAAACTCATATATACAACTCATTAATAAAATGACTAACAACCAAATTAAAAATAGGCAAGATTTGAACAGACATTTCATGAAAGAAGATAAACCAATAAGCACATGCCAAGATGCTGAACATCATTTATCACCAGGAAATGTAAATTAAAAATATGAGATATTACTTATCCTCTCTAGAATGGTTCAATTTAAAAAGACTGACAATAGGAAGTGTTGATGAGAATGTGAAGCAACTGAAACCCTGGCATATTGCTGATGGGAGGGTAAACTGATACCACTTTAAAAAAGCTTGTCACCTTCTTATAAAGTTAATCACATATGTACTCCCACTCCCAGGTATTTACCTGAAGAAAGGAAAACACATGTCTATAAAAAGGCTTGGTCATAGCAGCTCTATTAATAAAATCCCCAACCTGGAAACAACACAAATATCTACACATGGGTGAATGGATGAATACATTAGGCTATATTCATATAATGGACTATTACTCAGCAGTAAAAAAGAAATGCTGTAACAGATAAATATATATATATATATATATTTTTTTTTTTTTGAGACAGAGTCTCACTCTGTCACCCAGGTTGGAGTGCAGTGGCGCGATCTTGGCTCACTGCAACCTCCGCCTCCTGGGTTCAACAGATTCCCCTGCTTCAGCCTCCGGAATAGCTGGGATTATAGGCGTGTGAAACTATGCCCAGCTAATTTTTGTATTTTTAGTAGAGATGGGGTTTTGCCATGTTGGCCAGATTGTTCTCAAACTTCCTACCTCAGGTGATCTGTCTGCTTCAGTCCACTCAAAGTGCTGGGATTAGAGACGAGAGCTACCGGGCCCAGCCACCATAACAGATAAATCTTAAACAATTATGTTGAATGAAATGAATATAAATTTCATTGATCTGTATTATTTCACTTAGAAGTATCTAAAAGGAAAAACTAAGACATGGTGATACAGAACAATAGTTGCCTTGACAGTGAAGAGACTATTTGGAAAGAGGTTATAAGGTAACTTTGTCAAAACTTTTCAAAAGATATGCTTAAAACCTGTCCATTCCATTGTATGTAAATTATACTGCAATTTTTAAAAAAGATACACATGCAAAGCCATTTCCTTCAAAGTACTCATGGTTTGGTTAAGGAAACAAAACATATATGAAGATGTGCAGAACTAAAATAAAATACCAAACAGATTCCAAAGCAGTACGTGATTAGAGTCAAGGAGACTGGGAGGAGGGGAGAGAGCTGCCGGCAAAGTAGAGAGGATGGGAAAACCCACATGGGAGGTTGGATATGTGTCTATTTGAGGGGGCAGATAGAGGGTGGGAGCAAAGGCACTGAGTTACACAGCAGACGCTAAAACCCATGGTCTTCCACGTGTTAACTTGCTGGCCTTTCATAGCAAGTTCATCCAACAGGGAGTACAGTCCTGTTTTAGGAATGAGGTTCAGAGAGGTTAAGAGCTCTGCCCAAGACCACAGAGCTTGCAGGATTAGACTTTGCAATAGCAACTGGGGCATGCATGACCCCAAAGCCTGTGCTCACCCTGTAAATGGTGTTTCACTTGTGAGGGACAGAATCTGCTGGACAGCCATGAGAAAGAAAGAAGCACATGTGGTAGGAAAAGCCCTGGTCAGTGCCAGGAAGTGTCCTTTCTGAGGTTACATTGTTTAGAATTTTGCTCTACAGGAGGGAATAAACAGCTGATTCCACTCAAAAGGCTCCACTGCTGTTCATAAACCATGAGAGTGTTTATGTCATGGGCAGAGCTCCCCAAGTGAATTATAGCCTTTTACACACTGTGTACATACAGTATTTTCACAGGACAAAGAAACAGGGTGTGGAAGGAATGCTACAGTTGACCCTCCTCTCTTTCCACCCTTTGTCTTCAACCTTCTCCACCAATCTCAAGACTATACTGCAGGACAGTTCTTTCATGGTGTTTATCTGGCTTTCTGACATAGCCCAGGGAAGTTACTCAGTTCAGTTGAAGAATGGAAACTTTAAACTATTTCTTCTTGCTAGCACGAGCTGCTGGCTTTCTCTTTTATTACATTTAAAATGGATCCATCTTCGCTACAGTAGAAAGCAGATTTTTTAAACATTACTTCAGATGTTTTCTTTAGACTGGTGTTAACATAAAGCAAATGTCTCTTGAAACTCTGAACCAATCTGTTAAGATAAACAGGCTTCACTTACGATATTCCTGTACTGAAATCATGGGCTTGTGGTCTGCAACTTCTTAAAGACTCAATTCATACTTGCTAAAATGTCTACTTAGGAAAAACACATGCACACACACACACACACACACACACACACACACACATACTAAGATATCTTTGCCATGGAAACCACAAAGACACATCTGGTTCAGACTCCACAGCACATACCACAGATAGTGCCCATCTTCTAAGGGCAGATCCTACGTATACACAGGGAAAGCCCAGAAAATTAAACGATACCAATACTTAAGCATAAAACATACTTTATAATTCCTTTTTTCCATTGTATTTCAAGATATGTAAGTCTTAATCATTGTTACTTGTTACATTTGCATATGCTTGTTTTTGTCCTTAATGGGATTTCAGACTTAGGTGTCATAGATAAAAAGAGAAAATAAAGGGAAAGAAGAAGGCAATTAAAGTTTCAGATAACAACTCTGGATTCTGCGTATAAATCTGAGGCAGTCTGGGTTTCTAGAAGAAGACACTGTCATTATTTAAAAGTCTCAGGCTAGGCGTGGTGGCTCACACCTGTAATCCTAGCACTTCGGGAGGCTGAGGCGGGCAGATCACCTGAGGTCAGGAGTTCAAGACCAGCCTGGCCAACATAGCAAAACCCCATCTCCACTAAAAATACAAAAATTAGTCGGGCGTGGTGTCACGTGCCTGTAGTCCCAGCTACTCAGGAGGCTGAGGCAGGAGAACTGCTTGAACCTGGGAAGCAGAGGTTGCAGTGAGCTGAGACTCCTCAGCTGGTACTCCAGCCTGGGCAACAGAGCAAGATTCTGTCTCAAAAAAATAAAATAAAATAAAATAAAATAAAATGAAAAGTTCTCAAGCCTGCTATAAGTGAAAGTCTTGTACTACAGAAAAATATAGGTGAGGTCAGGAGGCCCCATGGAAGGGAATGGGGTCTCTCTGGGAGGGGGAGGCAAGAACAAGAAGTCCTACTAAGTTCTTGATTAGTCATGGCTAACCAAGAGCATTCCAGATCTGGAGGTCCAGGTTTTGTTAGTAGGTACTTTGAAACTGTCAGAAGTTTGTATGATAAAGGCTTTATCCCCCTTGCTGGGCTACAAATTCCATGAAGACGGGGACAATTTCTAATTTGTTTATCATTATATTCCTAGCATGGAGCACAATGCTTGTAACATGGTAGATGCTTAATAAATACTGGATGAGCAAATGAAGAGGATGCTTAATAGACAGTCTATATTTGTGTGATACTTTGGATCTGATCATCCTTCAGCTGGGATCACAGGTGTGAAGCATATGACTGTTCCAAGCGATAAAGTTATAACCACATGCCACTCTATGCTTTATTTTTGGAAACTGTGATTTTGATCCACTGCTTCTTCAGTCTAGGAGGCCATGGTTTATGAAGACTGATGTTCCACACACCAAAGTCTTAAATATAAAAAACAATCAGCATATTTCTGTATTTACCTATTCTATATGACTGAAGTGAGGCCTTCCACACTGAGAGGTTCATGAGCAATAGTTGTATCTCTAAACTCTAAACTTTAGCTAACTTCAACCTCTATGAAATCCTACTTCCATATCTATTCTAATAGCCCTAAGCTATTTGTGTAGCTGTTTATTTGACCGAGAAATACACAGGTCCTACTTTGGGCAACGGCTGTGGTATACACTGCAGAGACACAACGAGGTATAGAATTCAGGGAGATTCATTTTCATACCAAAGAGTAGCTACTGGTTCCAGGTGTTGACTACTAAGCAAAAATTCTGTTTGTTTACTGCCATCTGAAATTTCCATTTTTTAAAAAGTAGCTGCGAACATTTTCATCATTGATGCCATTTACCCACAACTCGAATTCCTGTTTAGTATTTATCCTCCAGTCTAAATAGAGAGGTCGTTTTCTGATAAATGCTACACTCCATGAAAAAAAAAAAGCTGTCATGGCTAATCTTAGAGACCAACAGAAACAGCAGAAAAAGGAAACACTTTCAGATGTAGATCAGCTTCTTCCTGATGAAGCTACGAAGGGCCAAACAGTAAATATTTTTGGTTTTCTAGGACATCCAGTCTCTGTTGCAACTACTCACTCTGCCATTGTAGCATTAAAACAGCCATAGATAATAAGTAAAGAAATGGGTGTTGCTGTGTTTCTATAAAACTTTATTTACAAAAATATGCACAGGCAGGATCTAGCCTGCAGGCGGTGGCTTGCCAACCCCTGGACTAGATAAACAAAATGCTCTTATCTGTAGGAAATAACGACAGATTCACTTACTTTGCTCTTTTGGCCATTTCATTTCCATCCCATCTGGGGCTGTACGGGTAATTTTTTTGGGCCTGGGAGTAAAGCTGTCCGCTGTTGGTGAAGTGATAGACGGACTGAAATGTGAGAGTTGGCTGGTCTCGAGGGAAAAACAGAGGCAGGTCAACTGCGAAGACAGAAGAAAGAAAAAGAAAGTTAGAGCATAAACACATCTTACGATTTTTTTTTTTTTTTTACTAAATCCGAATGTTAGGTACAAAACTCTATTTGAACCACTAATACTGTTTGAGGCTTGGATGAAAGGTGTGGTGTATAGAGAGGGACCAAGAAATAAATACAAGGTGACGTCTCCATCTTCGAGGAGTTTATAATATAGAGAGACAGATCACACACGGGTGAAAATGTCACCAATGGAAGGCATGACGTGTAGGTGCTGTAAAAAGGCTTTGAAATGGTCACAGAAGCTTAGGGAAGGATGCCTGGTCGCCTGCAACCATCTGACATTCCTCTCTAGCACTTCCCTGGATCAATATTCCATTGCAGAATTCTCTTTCTATCTGTTTTAAGTGTCTATTATAGTATAAACTCTTCAAGGGTTGGGCAGTGTCTTCCACATCTATAATTTGATGGAGGAAGCGGGACAGAGGCTGTTTTTCAAGAATGCATTTGGAGAAGGGGTAAAGAGTGCAGGTGATAATCTTTCTACTTGATAGGATATGGCAACCAGACTACCAGGAAAAATGAAGTTATCACTCTACTTCCAATCAAGCAGTGAATTTTGATACTTAGCAGTTTCAATTTTTTCCATATGCATTCCCACATATATTTATATCTCCTAAATCAGTGGGAATTCCTTAATGGAATGTATAAGGGACTACTCTGAGCACTAAATATGTCTGCTGTGATAGTACAGGCTAATTCCAATCCTTGCTGTTAACATGTGTTATATGCTTTATCTTTTCATTTTGGGGTTAACTCAATTTTTAAAAGTAAACTGATTTGTTATTAGTTGAGGCAAATCATCATTAAAAACACAGACTGTTTCAATAACACATTCTTAAAGGTATATAATGTATATGTGTGTGAATGTTATCCAATTCTAGGACAAAGAATAGGAACAGCATAAGAATAATAAGAAAAACAAGTATAGAATTTTCTAGATTTATAGGGTACCTTCTTTATACACTTTGTCTAATTTGTAACTTAGAACTCCATGACAGAGATATTATCTTCAACATTTGCATTTAACAGGTGAGCAAACCTGAGACTCTAAGAGGTTTATTAACTTGCTCATGTCACAGCCAGGCAGGGGCAAGACTAAAATCTAGTCCCATGATTCAAACACTGGGCTCCTACTATGCCCCATATTGCCTTCTCCTGCTCCAAAGGACACTGGCCTAACCTGCTTACAACTCATTCACTATGTCACAATTTAGGAAGCTAAAGTTGTCATTGTGAAGGATGTATAAGGTTCATCTTTTTAGCTACATGAGGAAGATATATTTAAAAACACATACCAGATAATTAGGCCGGGCACAGTGGCTCACGCTTATAATCCCAGCACTTTGGGAGGTGGAGGTGGGTGGATTACTTGAGGTCAGGAGTTCAAGACCAGCCTGGCCAATAGGGTGAAACCCCATCTCTACTAAAAATACAAAAATTAGCCGGATGTGGTGGCAGACACCTATAATCCCAGCTACTTGGGAGGCTGAGGCAGGAGGATCACTTGAATCCGGGAGGCGGATGTTGCCGTGAGCTGAGATCGCGCCACTGAACTCCAGCCTGGGTGACAGAGTGAGACTCTGTCTTAAAAATAAATAAATAAATATACATATTAGATAATTATACATCTATCACTATTCTAGTCTGGGGTGACATACAACTTGGCCTAGGTACTCTCAGCACTCAATATGATTTCTTGAAGGAAAACTTAGGTCCACAGCAGACTTTTAAGCAGAAGCCAAAAAACTCCCAAGAATCAAAAAACTATCCAGTTGGGACGGCCTCTTAGACCTCTGAGTGCACTTGACTCTGATGATGTCTGACTCAGTGCTGCAGGGGATTTCTACAGATGAATCACACGACAACCAGAGAAAAGGGCACGATTTTGAATGTACATTCTTTAGTCACATTTTTCAAGCACCACAATAGTGCAGTCTGAATACATGTCTGTTGGTGCCAAAGCAGAGATTTCATAATATATAGGAACAATACAAAAGACTGATTCAAATAAATAATTCAATTCAGAAATTGCTTTTGAGTCCCTGCATATTGCAAAGCTTGATCTGTAACGTTTTCAGTCACTCTGCACAAATAGTGCTTTCTAAAATTAACTTTGTATCTTTTCTCATTACTACTTCCATTTCTTCTGATTAATATTTATTTATTTATTTATTTATTTATTTATTTTTGAGACAGAGTCTCGCTCTGTTGCCCAGGCTGGATGGAGTGCAATGGCGCCATCTCAGCTCACTGCAACCTCCGCCTCCTGGGTTCAGGCAATTCTCGTGCCTCAGTCTCCCAAGTAGCTGGGATTACAGGCACCTGCCACCACATCCGGCTAATTTTTTATACTGTTAGTAGAGATCAAGTTTCACCATGTTGCTCAGGCTGGTCTCGAACTCCTGACCTCAGATGATCCACCCACTTTGGCCTCCCAAAGTGCTGGGATTACAGGTGTGAACCACCGCACCTCTTCTGATTAATTTTTAAAAATGGCCTATTCACAGCCGGGCGTGGTGGCTTACTCCTGTAATCCCAGCACTTTGGGAGGCTGAGGTGGGCAGATCACCTGAGGTCAGGAGTTCGAGACCAGCCCGGCCAACATGGTGAAACCCTGTCTCTACTAAAAATACAAAAAATTAGCTGGGCATGGTGGTGCGTACCTGTAATCCCAGCTACTCAGGAGGCTGAGACAGGAGAATCTCTTGAACTCAGGAGGGAGAGGTTGCAGTGAGCTGAGATAGTACCACTGGACTCCAGCTTGGGCAACAAGAGAAAAACTCTGTCTCAAAAAAAAAAAAAAAAGGCCTATTCACATATACTTTGACTTCAGTTGTTTTATACTATGTACACTTTTGCAAATATAAAATAAGATTGAGATTAACCTCCAAAGCAATCATTACTAGCAGAAAAGTACCATGAGAGCTTCCCTACAAGAAAGCAATAACTTTAAACAGTAGAACTCAATGGCAATAATTTATAAATTTAAAGCAAATACAGTCATCACTCAGTATCCAAAGCAATGCAGATAATACCACAGGCTATGTGATTTGCAAGCTACTGGCTTTTTTTGGGGGGTTTTGGAATGCCTTCTATTTTCGTTCTTATTATTTTGTTTTGTAGAAAATGAGCTGATGATATTAATATTTTAATATGCTAAAAAATGATTTTTTCCCACCTATTTCGGGACCATCTTCTTTGACCCCCTAAATGCCCAGTTAGCATCAGAAATAATTCAAAATGTGAAGGAAATTTATCTACCTGGGCAAGTGAGTTGTTCTGATTTTTAAAAAACAGCAGCAAGGTAATGTTGATATGCACAACAGTCCCCAAAAAGCATTGATTACATGATTATTTCTCCGTGGAGATTTGTCTAACAAAGTGTAATTGAAGCCAATATTTAAATTTGAATACTTTCTCAGTGCACACAGTAAATGTATTATCAGGGGAGCAGCAATGGTCAGAGTACCTAAGAGATAAAATCGGTAATTCACATATGAGAAAATAAAAATTTAAAAATACAGTATCTTGCTCAACTTAACTAAGTTGTATCCTGTCTGTATCAGTCAATGGTCAATAAAATGATGGCTTATTTAAAAATGTTCTATGCATAAGAATGAGTTAATAACTAAAATATTTATGAGAAATACTTTGCATTTTTCTGACAAGAATGATTTGAATGGTACAACTTAGTCAAGATTAAAAAAATTAAAACTTGCTTTCCTTATTCCTAAATGTTTCTGTCACTTCACTTCTGCCTATAGGTTAACTCATGATTTTCCAATGCATAGTAAAATAATTACTTTAGGACTTCCAACAGCTAACTTGTCGGAAGGAACCGCCCAGATTCCAAGGATTTGGGGCTCATAGTTTCAGCTATATAAAAATTGAATACTTTAACCATTTGCTTTCTTTCTTTTTTTCTTTCCTTTTCTTTTGAGATGGAGTGTCACTCTGTTGCCCAGGCTGGAGGGCAGTGGTGTGATCTCGGCTCACTGCAACCTCCACCTCCCAGGTTCAAGTGATTCTCCTGCCTCACCTTCCAAGTAGCTGGGATTACAGGCACCTGCCATTATGCCCAGCTAAGTTTTTGTATTTTTAGTAGAGATGGGGTTTCACCACGTTGGTCAGGCTGGTCTTGAACTCCTGACCTTGTGATTTGGCCGCCTCAGCCTCCCAAAGTGCTGGGATTACAGGCGTGAACCACCATGCCTGGCCAGCCATTTGCTTTCTTAGAACCTACTGGGTCAGGTTTGATTCTTACATCATCCCATTTGATTCAGTTACTTAGTATCGGTATTATTTTGACAACTGCTTCCTATTTCCTTCTTCCCATATACAGAGACTAAATTTTGGTTGGCTTTTCATCCACAGAGGGGATGGTCTGCACTTGTTTAGTAGAATTTTAGTCACCATTTCTTTCTTCTCCTTTTTTTTAAAAAAATTTTTAAATTTTAAATTTTTTATTTTTAGAGATGAGGGTCTTGCCATGTTGTCCAAGCTGGTCTCAAACTGCTGGCCTCAAGTGATTCTCCCTCCTTGGTCTACCAAAGTGTTGGGATTACAGGCATGAGCCACTGCACTTGGTCTCAATAACTATTTCTGAAGCATTACTTTCTTCAAGAACTTGCTGAAAGAAGTCACACCAAATGCTTCTTAATTCTACACAAACCAGGCAGTTCACAGGATGCATTCACAGGGCTCTGAAGCCCTGGGGGAGGGAGGAAGAATTAAGCTCTGCACCAGTTGCCTCACTCTGGACAGTCATTGCAGTGATGGGTTCCACGGGTTACAGTCTCAGAGCTTGTGGTGCTCTCCAGACAACAGCCAACCACGTGGCTTTGGGGGGAAGCTGAATGCATGATAAACTATGCTGCCTCTCTGTGAACTCTGGTGAGGTTCAGGTAGTGGCTGCAGTTCTACCTTCCCAAGCAAACACGCTTA